GGGCTGGCTGAGAACCGCCCGGGGCCCTTCCTACCTGGCTCCAGAGAGCGGGAGAGAGAGGACCGGCTCTGGCCGCCCTGCTTCAGCAGCCAGGGGCCGGGCGCAGGCCAGCCGAATACAACTGCGGCGAGGACGCGCAGTTTCAGAAGAAATCAGGTCCTCAGTTAACTTTTGAACCCTCCGAAACCTGATTCAACCAATTCATGCAAAACGAGTATCGCTTTCCTAAAATAACAGCCTCTCCGCCTGACACCACAGTTCTGTTAGCTCCAGGGTGTCAGACTCATCCAGCCCCGTGCCCTGGAGCCAGTACATACATAGGGCTTGTCATGCAGTGTGGACCCTGAACCAGCCCCCCTGCTGTGCCACACACGATGTACACGCCAGGGTCCAGCCCCAGACACTGCAGTACATGCCAGCCCTGGTCTGATGCTTGCGCTGCACGCAGCACGCAGGGCTGGCACAGGACATGCACTGCATGCACCACTCCCATGGGACTGGCCCTGTGTGCCAGCTCCAGCATGCAGGGATAGTCTGTGGGGCCAGTCCAGCCCCAGAGCTAGAGTGCAGGGCCAGTCTGGTACAGGCACTACATGCAGCTCAGGGGGCTGGGGCCCACGCATGCTGCATGTGGCTTGCAGGGTCAGTCCAAGATCCACAGGCCAGATCCCAGGGCTTCACATGCCTGATCAGGCCCACAGGCCATATTTTGACACCCCTGTGTTACTTTCCTGAACCATTTACTTAAAGGCAATGGGCTGTAGTAGGCCTCAGATAGTTAAGAGTTTAAGGTTAGTAGAGAAAAACTAGATATTTCACTGTGGAAGGAAGAATTTCCTAAATATGAAAGTATAAAACCAGAAAGTGGCAATTACAAAACTATCCTATAACTAGAGTTTAAGGATGTTAGATAATGAGTGGGAGCTTGTAGTGCTCTACAAAAATTGCATGTGTCAAGTAGGATGAATAAATTAGGTGTTTTGGCCCTTCTTTCACCAGAGTATCGATAATGCCATTTCTGGAGCATTGCGTGAAGTTTATAGGTTTTGTATTGCAAACAAAAATAAGCAAAGCCAATGGGAATCCAAAGTACTTTAGAATATTAAAATGCTGGAGAAGATTTTAAAAGAACTGAATTTCTGTAGTGTTTAGATAGAAGGCTTTGTAGTGCAAGAGAAAACCTGAAGGAATGGCAAGACTAACAAGTCTATATCCTCAGTACAGATACAAGTAGCGATGGCTTCTCACAAAGGGACATGGGTGTTGTTAAGCAGTAGAAAGCATAAATATAACAGTGAAATAACATGCAATTGTAACCATTGATGCAGTCAAGGTAAACCCACACAACAAACTAGGGAGGCATTTGTAGACATCCAGCAATAATCTCCTGAAGTAGGAAATTGTTGAAAATATTTGTGTGGCAATTGGTAATTGGTAATGCAGCTCATAGAGCAATATATTCTGTTAAATGTGTTTTCCCTCTAAAGGTCCCTTACTTAACAACAGAATAAATTTGTTTTTATGTGGGTGGAAGGGCAGCCATAAATTTCATACTATGGCTTTTTGGCGCATAGTCTTGGCAACAGGACCAGTTTTTTCTTAAATAAAAATATTGAGATGAGTATTTTATAACAACTAATTTTTAGTTTCCTTCTTGGTTGATTTTTGTTGATTGTCAATTTAAACCCTGTTCAAAGTATAGAAAAAGCATAAAAGCAAAATGAAATAGGGGTGTACATCAGGATCTGGGGGAACACCTGTTCATCAAAGCGCCCCAAGAGAAGACAAAGTCAAATGGTCACAAATTCTCCAAGACCATTTCAGGCTGGACATAAGGAAGAACTTCTTTACTGTGCGAGCCCCCAAGGCCCGGAACAGACTGCCGCCAGAGGTAGTGCAAATGCCTACTCTGGACTCCCTTAAGAGACATTTGGACATTTGTTTTGCTGGGATCCTTTGACCCCAGCTGACTTCCTGCCCCTGGGGCAGGGGGCTGGACTCGATGATCTTGAGAGGTCCCTTCCAGCCCTAATGTCTATGAAATCTATGAAATGAGATGGCAAGGAGATGCAGCCAGAGGAGGGAGTAGGTACAAAATGACCCCCAGAATTCTGGATTGCTGGGAACAATTTCAACCCCTATAGCCTACAAAGCAGTACCAGGGGCTGCTCTTTTTATAGACAAGCTACATCATCCCCAAAGACCAGGCAACAGCCTAGAATCACTCTATAGACATGCCTTTCTTCCCACCAAAATACACCACTTCCGAACATGACTCAAAATCAAAAGCTTCCAGAAGATAGGAAATCCATATACTTTCCTGTTCTGCGACTGTCAGTGGTATAAACAAGGAAGAGTGCAGCCCACTATTGAAGCCTAGATCTTTGTAGAAGGTAGTCTTTTGAATTCAACAATTATTCCTCAGCTGCTTTGTTTGATCTTATAATTTTTACTGTTTTTACAAACAAAATTTTGCTTTTCAAAAGGACTGCCATTATTCATATAGCTATATGGCATGATCCTTCTTGCACCCATGTAATGTAGATACTTATAGAGCCTGTAACCACTTATGCCAGATCAGCAGCTCTTGGGGCGCTTAGGACCATGTTACCTAAGTTTGGGTGCTTACTGGTTTTGACTGTCTGGTTCTCTGAGTGCGTTTCCCTTGGGAGGTCTACTCCTGCTCCCCTGCCACATCTTGTTTTTTAAAATGAAATAAGGGAAGTTCTTCATGTGTCATGGACCATCCTCAGGTGTGCTTGATACAGATGCTTCTTGGGGCTCCTCCTCTCCTACATCCCATCCATATGCCAACCTGTAGTTAGTTTGCGGTTTGGTGCTAACTGTTTGGGATCTATGCAGCCAGCCAAGCCAGATAATCTTCTACCTGGACAGATACTTTTAAATGAGGGGGTTGGTATGTCGCAATTGATCAGTCCTAGTGCTACTGAGAGTCAGCATAGGTAACCTCATCAAACAGTCCAATCATAAGAATACAAACAGAAATTTAAGACCCAGTTAAGGTCTTCACAGTCCTTATATCACAGTCCATCAGAACCCAGGACTCAGAATTACTTCATGAAACTCATTAATTCATTAAGGGTTAGTCATCAAAGTAAGAACAGCTCTTGCCCAGTTCCTGGGATCACCCTGGGTCCTTGATGGGCTATCAGGTCCTCTCAGCCTAGCTGTGCCCTAATGGAAAGGATGAGGACCCAGACAAAGCAACAAAACAAAAGCAGAAACAAAACAATAAAAGGGAGGCTATAGTATTCAGGCTCACTCACATGCCCCTCTGGGTGCTGGGTCTTGAGGTCCTGGGTCCTTCTTTTTTCCAGGAGTTGCTGGCACTCCTGGAAAAGCACACAGGAGATACTTCTCCAGGGATCCCATCTGTGGAACCGGTGCAGCACTCTGCCAGAAGAGCCAACCTGGAGTATGTAGTAGCTGCACTGCTTCTCCTCTCCCCTCTCACGCTGCTCTGCATTGGTTCTTGTAGGTGGTCCCTGGTGTGGGCATCTGATGTCACACTCCTGCGCCCCTCCAGCTTCACTGACAGCATGCTTAAAAATCATGCTGACAGCACCACTCACTGCTCTGCAGCCTCTGTTGCCACACCTGTATCATGTAAGTTTATTCCAGTTCCTGCCCTTACCATCCATTTGTCAGGACATTTTGCATCCTTCCAATGCCCCTCAAACCCTGGAGCCAGGGTTTCTAGCCCCTAGAACCTGTCACCCTGTGACAGAGCCTTCTCAACTACCCCCATTAGTTTAGTGTCTCCTTACCTCCCTGAACTTCATATTTTCCTCCAAAGTACCTGTATAATTTAGGGAAATATTATCCCCTTTTACAGATGGGGAACTGAGACACACAGTGACTAAATGAACTGTCCAAGTCATATAAGAAGTATGTGGCAAAGATGGGATTTGAACCCACAGATATCATGGTATAGTATCTTTTATTACGACTGAAATATAGAAACATTAACTGTTTTCTTCAACATATTCTTGTGTAATAATACATGTGTAAGACTTGCGTCTTGAACTGGTAACAAGCACTAGAAAGCTAATACACATCCCTTCAAAACATCATTGAAGGGACAGTCAGAGGTGGAACTATTGAAACCTAGAATGCCCACAATTTGAAACAATACATTTCTAATAAGTGCTTGTTCCAAGTCCAATTGTCTAATAAATGCTTGTTCCCGTGTTCAATTTTTTCTCATTTTGGCTGCATACTAGTGAAACATAGTACAAAATTGTGGGCATGTCTACACAGCACACTGCAGTCCCTATGCTATGTGCTGTGATTACATGGCTATACAACTTTCATTACTTCAGCTAAGTTGTACCCTGTAGACAAATGCAGAGGGAGGTATGTACACATTTTATAAATTAACAAAACATTCCTCAAAAGATTCAAAAGACCCAGCATAATTATAAAGCACTCAGGAGTCATGCTGGCCACAAAGTACAGTCTATAATTATGTATTCTTTTGATGGTGTCTTATCTGTTATGCATACAGCTGCTGGAAAACACTTCATACTGTTGTTGTCTGGACTATTCAGGGGTAGTGTGTGAGGAACAGTTTTCTAGTACAAAGAAAAATTTAAAGATTTTAAAACTTTTTCCTGTTCCTGCTTGGGACAAACCTGAAGTCAAGGGGAGACCAGAATAGCCTAATGGCTAGGGCACTCACCAAGAAGTAGAAGCAGGGTCTTAGCTACATTTTAATGAGAAATTCCATTCTGTACCTGGGAAGTCTGTTGTGACAAAAGTTTCATCCTAATCTATGCATTCTCACAAAAAAATTTAGCTTCAACTAATTTAATAAACAAGTTCCCAACCAGCTTTGTTCACCTAGCAACATAGAAGTACTTGGTTTAACACTGCTACCAAGAAAAACAAATATTCCAGTAAGGTCCCAGGTCCAGCTATAATATAAAAGACAACTGTCCAGCTGGGAATCAAAGGAGTGAATAAAGATACAGTGACAAGATTGTCTTATGGTAAAAATAAATTTTCAGTTCTGCATATAGCATGAAAGTTGGCCTCTCAATGAAAGCTACCACTTTCCTTTCCCCACACACCCCTATTTTCCTCTTCTTTCCTTTTACACGGAGGCATTTATTTGTAAAAAAAACCCCAAAAAACGAAAAAAGAAAACAAAAAACACCTGACTTGTCACCAGGATTAATGTCTTTCACACTACACAGTTTATTAG